GGAGCGGGAGCAGGAGGAGGAGCAGGGGCGAGGAAAAGGGGAGCGGAGGGAACCGGGAGACCTCGTAAGGGTACCGGGTGTAGTAGGACACGAACTCTCGTAAAAGGTGACATCACAAGAGTCAAGGAACCGGCGGAGGGGCGGGTTGTAAAAAGTGTAGTCAAAGGAGCCCACCGGGAAACCAAGGAAGACACGGGGGAGGGCGCGAGCCAAAAGCTTGTCTATATAGGTGTCGGAGACAAGCGCAAGGCAGCCCCCGACACGAAACTCCGACGCAACACCAGGGGACCCGGTCCAAAGACTGGTTGGTGAAGCCCGTGGCCGTGAGACACGAGGCCAAAGTTTCGGCTGGTGGGCGGCGTAGCGAACCGCGTAGGGCCATAGAAAATGGGGCGCACGCGCACGGATCATGGGGGTTCATGCGATCTCCATAATCAAGCCTATGCGGTGCTAAGGAACCCCATTCTACTGTGGGGACGCTGGAAGCGTCCAGGACTAGATAATGCCTTGCTCGCTACAAAATCCACAAACAATGCCCGAGCAAAACTCACCCCCACGTTCGGGGTAAAGACAACTGACACGATGGACACGAGTAGTCTCAGTGGCCAACAACCACCGGATCAGCGTAGAAGTCACGTCGGACTTCTTCGCCAGGGGAAACATGGTGGTGTAGCGAGAGTAGTCATCAACGACCACTAGAAAAAAAGCTCTCCCTCTTGGGCCCAGGGCGAGGGGCGGGGCCCCAGACGTCCAAGTGGAGAGTCTGGAAGGGTGCGATGGCCGGACGAAGGGAGGAGGAGTGAGGAGTGGCGCGTGAAAGAGAGCGACGCGTCAGCCGCATGTACATCTGGGCTAGTAACTACACAAGCACCTACACTAGAAGCACGAGTCCGTACACTAGCATCCGGCCGAGGTCCTAAGCTAGGTACACGCTAATCAACAAATCCAACAATACTAGAGTTATCAACAAACATGACAGTATAAGCTTCATACATAGACATAGAATAATTATTATACCCATAGCGAGACAGAGTAGGCCAGTGCGGAAGCGACGAGTAAGGCCCAAAACGCTCACGGTAGAGGTCGTCGAGGCGGCGGTAGCAGCGGAACGAGGAGTGGTCAGGGCGCAAGTAGTTAGTGCCAGCACCAAGGCCAGTCAGGATACAGTACTAACGTCGCGACCACCACGGCGAGCCTCCCAGTTGGCTGTACCGCTGCTGGGGCCGACACTCCTCATACCAATCGGTCCCACAACCGGAAGTGCTGCGGCTGCTGTCACTGCGGCCGGTTCTGCTGCTCCAGAACTCTAGTGGACACCATGGCACAACCCAGAGGGGCGTGAGAGCGGCAGGAGCTAGTAACAGCCGGACATGGAATCGTAGCGTGGAGGCTAGCCTAGAAACCGGTGAAGAGGGTGGCGGACGGAGCTAGAATATGAAGCCTAGGAACACGAGGAACAATTAGGCCGGAAGCGTAAGGCTCGCCCAAAGAGGTCACTGCGGCTGCCCGCCGCCGTGAGAAACGCCTATAACAGGAGCCGTGTGGGAGAGACAGCAGGTACGCGTGCAACTGCGGCTGCCTGGAGCGGCCAAGTGCGGTTGAGTGCGGTTGAGTGTGGTGATTGAGTGCGGTTTAGTGCGGTTCAGTACGGTCTAGCGCAGTGGAAAGGAGTCAGTAGCGGGTAGGAACAGTCTAGTGCCGTAGAGAACTAGTGGGCTCGTTCAGGAGCACGGGCAGTAGCGCGTGTCGAAGGTACGTGCACTTGCTGCTGCTTCGTGCAGCTCCTAGTGCGTAGGCAGCTGCATGTGCGCACACAACTGCTGCTGCTGCGCGCGTCTGCTCGTCCGCGGCGGCGTGCGTAGGGTTGTGCGCGCGGACGGCAAGGCAGGGCGCAGCACGTGACAGGGCGGGATGCGGGTAGGGGCTGCAGTGGCCTGCGGCGGCGACTGTTGCGCTCGCAGCAGTGGCGGCGGCTGGAGTGTGCGTGGCAGTGGCTGCTGCTAGTGTGTGTGCGTTGGCGCTCGCGCTCGCGGCTGCTCCTGTGCGCGCTGCCTGTTCGCGGCTGCACGTGCTGCTGGCTGCGCACTCGGCAATGTGTGTTGCAGTGGCATGCACACTGCAGAACAGGGCGCGGGACGGGACGAAAAAGAGGGGCGCGGGGGCAGCATGTGGCGTCATATGCACGCGCACATGCGTTTGACTAGGGCGTCGCGAGCTACGGGGCGTACGAGACGTTACGGGGCGTATAGGGCGTTATGGGACGCGCTACGGATGGGGCGTATTAAGAACGAGGCGAGGCACGTTACGGGGCGGGAGAGGCGCGTTTCCTTAGGCTAGGAACAAACCTACTTCCGATACCATCTTAGAATCCAAGTACTTTGGGAAGCTAAGGAGAATGATTGTAAGACTAGTTGGTGAGAGTGTACAAGTGAAAGTGTCTAGAGAAAACCAAACCCAACAAACCTAACACGTTCATGTATGTGTATATTTAGTTTGACAAATTCCCTCATAACTTCGCTCATTGCATCGTGTGCTTCAATTCGATAGTACAATAACCTTTATTCGCCCACTCAATTGCACTCGTAACAATCTGCTCAGGGCTGATTTTATCAGGGTAATTACCCTGATTTCAGGGTGGTGGACCCTGCAATCTCAGATTAGTAACTTTATGAACTCTGATCCATTCAGATTAGGTACTTAACGAACTCTGAAATTTTGTAACTAGGCTCAGAGTCGTGTACTAGCCGACTATGTCTGTGTAGAGTATTCGTTCGCTGGACCCTGAATGCGTGGGTATCGGGAGGAAGGTTCCTCAAAGTTTCGTCTCGATAACCCCCCTTAGTGCGTAATTATTACTTCGCGTGGTCCCAGCTTGCTGGACCGTGAATGCGTGCGAGGGTATCAGAAGGAAGCTTCCTGGAAGCTTCCTTTCAATAACCCCCCCATGGGGGTTATCATTACTTCGCGTGGCCCTACCGAGGTACCCCCTTCACGCGCGGGAGCGTGACGTAATACCGACAAGGAAAAAACACCCCCGTTCTGTACATCACAGCTGGCAACACCGACAACGCACCCAAATCGCTGCCACGCGCACCGCACAACGCACAGCATGCATCTGCCATTGGCCAGCACGGCCTCTTGACAGCATGCGGTGGCAGCCACGCAGCCCGTGGATGAATTCGGCCTTGAATGCAAGGCCGAATTCATCGGCCAATGTTGCCATCAAGACGTTGATGGCGCGCTGCGGTGGTTTCTTACTGACCCCACCATCTCCAAGCTTACCTTCCCTCCCTGCTCCACCAGCCGTGATTCCAACGAGCACCTCCTTTTCCTTTCCATTCTGTGCTTTCAATCTCTCGTTTCCCTCTCGCTCAGATTAGCCACCAATCTCGCCGCCATGGAGGCCATGCCGGCCGACGAAGCTGCTCCGGAGGCTGGCCCTGACGAGCCACCTGTACCGGCGAAACCAGTAGGCCCGTCCCAGCCGGAGATAGCCGCCGATGCTCCGCGTTCTGGGCTCGATTTTCTGTGAGCCACGGCTGCTCCCGTAACACCAGAGCCGCCTAGGTCCACAGTTCATGACTCCGCCGCTGTAGTGACACCTACCCCTACTGATTCTCCCACGCCTGTCGCGTTCACTCTCCCCCCGGCTGTTGCTGGCTGCAGCAAAGACCCTCCACCGCCCGCGACCAGTCCCACTCCAAGCACGGTGCGGGTCTCCCTCGGCCCGCCGTCGGCATCTTCCACTCCCAAGCGGGCCCGATCCGGGAAGTGGTCGCAGAGTACTCTGGTGGTGGGGGGCCGCCGTATTCCACCGCCTGAAAAGCCTGTTGAGCCTCCACCGAAAGAAGCTGAGCTGCCGGAAGAAGGTGACATCCCCGTGCGCGCGGATACCGGCTCACCCGCTCTCACAAAGGCGCAGCTGCGCGAGCAGATGTACTTGGAGGCGAGTATTAATTACGAGACGAAGTGGTCGGGGTACTTCTCGTGGCTCGTGTTTGGGAAGACCAAGGACGGTTTCCCCTACGTGAAGTGCAGCATCTGCATGTCGTACGGTAAGGGGAACACCAGGTACGCGATGCCAGGAGACGACGGCGCCCGTGACCTGCAGACTCAGTCGTTCCGCGCGCACGAGCGTACGGACGCACACACGGCGGCGGTGGACCGGCAGATGAAGATTGCGGCCGGAATCCACCAAGGGCAGCAGGTGATTTCGGACTTCATCAACTCCGATGTGGAGGGCCGCCGCGCGATACGACTCATGCGGTCGACACAGTTCCTGTGCCAGTGCGACGCGCCGATAAGCATGTTTCCTAAGCTGCTGCGGCATCTCGCGGAGCAGGACACGCCAGACATTCCACGGCAGTCGTACGGCGTTTATCTCACGCGGTATGCAGAGAAGAGTGCAGTGTATACTATGTATGTTGCACACATGATTGATAGTGTACTGATCACTTCCTTCGACTTGTTGCAGGTACGGCTTCCAGCAGATGGTGCACAGCATCAGCACCTACCTAACGCGGGTGCAGATGGACCACATCCTGGCAACACCGTTCCTGGGCATCCAATGCGACGAGAGCACTGACCGCACGCGAGGGAAACACATGATTGTCTACCTTACTTTCCTGAAGAACCGCCAAGTCGCAACCGAGTTTTTCACTTTGCTGACGGTCGAGCGGTGTGATGCAGGGTCTCTGTTTGAGGTGCTCATGAACCATCTCCGCTCAGCTGCCGTGGATGTCTCCAAGATCGTCGGCATCAGCACGGACGGGGCGTCGGTCATGACCGGGCGAGAGAACGGCTTGGTTGCGCGTCTACGGGAACACGTCCCGCATCTGTTTTCCTGTCACTGCATCGCGCATCGGTACGTGAGATGGTCTCGGTTGCCACTTGGTTTCCTACAGTGCGTGATTTACTAACTAACGTTGATTTGTGTTCCCTGCTCCCACAGTGAGGCGTTGGCTGTGAAGGACGCCGCGGAATCGAACCCGGATCTCGGCATGGTCGACAAGGTGGTGCGCACCGTGGCGACGCTGCTCGGAAACTCCAGCGTGTGGAGTTAGCGGTTCAAGTACCTGCAGCGTGTGATTTACAAGACCAACCTGGAAGTCCAAGGGATCCACACGGTACGGTGGCTGTCTCGAGGTGATGCGGTGGGGAGGCTCTGCAAGGTACTCGGCGCATGCATCGTTCTCCTCTGGGAGCACAATCACAAGGCATACGAGATCGTGACCTGCTACAAGTTCCAGTTCTGCCTGCTCTTCTTGGCCGACATCTTGGCGGACATGAACGACCTCAACCGCTGCTTCCAGCGACGAGAGGTAAAGTCGCATGTGTGGCTGTTCTTGCACCGTTATGTTTCTTACCACATAGTTGCTCATAACACTCCCTGTTGCTCACACCGTCTCCTCTGACAGCTGGAAGTGACAGAGATTGCGAAGACGATCGAGTCAACCACGGGGGACCTGGCGGAGCGCTACTTGACGCCTGAGAAGGCTTTCGGGGGAGAAGGGAAGAGCTGGCTGGTGAACTCCCTCAAAGTCCACAAGGAGGGTGGAGGCAAGCAGGTCCGGGTGCGAGGCGTGGACGGTGCTGGACAGCCTATCAACCACCTCTACACCATGCATGAGAGGAAGCTGAAGGGGCACAGCAGGGGAGCACTTACGCAGACTGCGTGAAGCTGTGCCGCAAATTCGCCAAGGACTGCGTGGACAACCTGAACGACTGGCTGGATGATCTTGGGAAGCTGGGGCCGACTAAGCTGTTCCGGGCGGCGAAATGGCCAAAGATCAAGGCTCAGCGGGAGAAGAAGTGTAAGGAGTGGCTGAACGGATGCAGCAGGCTGTTCCGCAACAAGCTGCCGGGATTCGACCTCAAAGCAGCAGAGAGGGAGCTCCCGACCTTCTGCGCCATCATGGAGAGCCACCATGAGATGGAGAGCTTCACCCAGGGCCTGTCCAACTTTCTCGGGAGTCCAGACTCAAAGAGGTAGGCCAATTTGAGTAAATGACCCTTGCATTCTGAAATTTGGTTTGCTAACTGTTTCTGTCGTGTTGTTTCCCTTCTATTGTGTGAACGCATGCGTCTGGCAGGCGATGGCCCAACCTCATCCTGCTGTGGCAGGCGCTGGCGCTGCTCTCCCTCTCAACCGTGGAGTGCGAGAGGGGGTTCTCAAGGCAGAACGTCATCAAGTCCTGGATCCGTGGAGCGCTGTGCAACGCGCGACTGGGGGAACTGATGCAGATATCGCTCCTGAAGTATGAGATCGACTGGCCGGAGGCGCTGGAGGTGTGGAGGTCCCTGCGAAGGAGGCGCCCTGCGAAGAGCTTGAAGCTGGCTGTGGCAGAGAGGGAGAGGAAGGGGAAGCAGAAGGAGGGTGAAGATGTGGCTGCCGGACATGCTGGAGAGAACGAGGATGAGGTGGAGGAGGAGGAGGACGATGAGGTGGAGCAGGCCTTCGGCAACGATCAGGAGGTCGTGGAGGAGGAAGAAGTGGAAGACAATCCATTCCTGTCGGACGATGAGGACGTGGAGGAGGTGTACTTCATTGACAAGCCTGTGCACTAGATAACCTAGGGAAGAAAAGAAAGTGCAGGCAGTTATATCATTTTGAAAAATAGTGCATTGTTAATAGCAACCCTGTTTCTGAGCAGTGAACCCTGAGCTGTCAGAGTAGGCCTTCGGTTGACACAGAGCCATCAGGGTGGCTGCCTTGCGAAAAATGTGTCATCATAATAGAGGGGCAAAATTTTTACCGGAATCAGGGAGTCCCAAAACGAAACGTCAGCCCTGAATCTGCTGTAATTCCTGTCAAAATGCTAGGCCAAAACGAGAAACAGGCAAGAAGGGTTTTGACTAACAAGCATAGGGATACATATATGCAAACCCTAGAAGGGCTGTACTCGCTATAGAGTACCCCACTGCAGGCTAGACAACCATCACATTCTGACAATTCCAAGTTGTCCTAGGCCTCGGGAATGGCCCGATCCCTGCTGACAGATTTGCATACCGCAGGCTAGCTCGCAACATCGCTTTACCGTGTTTATTTTCACTTTATTGTGTTCCCTTCTCTCACACTTATTATAGCGCAATCCTCAATCGTACTTGTAGGGGAATCCTCGATTGCGCTTTCGAATCGAATGAACGTCTCCCTCAACTGTGGAATGTTGAAACCACCTGGTTGGTGCGACATGCACCTGAGTGTCCGCCCTGACATGCTTTCAAAACGACAAAAATTTCCGATAACCTATCACCCAGCCCTTCGTTATGTTACAGTGTGTCAACAATATTGTCAGCGCAGTCTGGCGAAATTATCTGTTATGATTTCGCCATTGCGGGGCGTGTTTTCCCAAACCTCCAGCAGAATCCGCCAGCCAGCAATTCTTCCCCCTCTTCCCTTCCACTCATGCCACTCGCAAGATGGATGGTGTAGGCAGTACTACTGAACTCATCTGAACGACCGCCACCGAACCCCAGTTTCCCTGCTTGCTGTTTCTTTTTTCTCCTCTCCATCCTTCCCTCTCCATCCTACCTCAGACCCAGCGAGGCGTGTAAGGACGCGTTGAAAGTGCAAATATCGCAGGATCGTCTGCACATATCGATCCCCATAATCGAGTGGGCAGATCGATTGGCGAAACATGGCGACCGCGAAGTTGTAACGATCGCAGCTGAGAATTGACAGATCTCCCGCGATCAGTGATCACTCGCATTCACACTGTAGAGAAAATTTGGCCAATAGGCTTACTGTAGCAAAGTTACAGCGTAGTAAATAGGGTAACCAAGCCGCACATCGATCGCGACTGACGATCGATCGTCTACTTTAATCGGCCCTACACAAGTGGTTAGGCGGATTACGATCGACAGCCGGGGATAACCCAAAGGGGGCTCTCCCCCCTCCCTTCCATGACGACTTTCCCTTTTCCCCTGTGCCCTCCCTGCCCAGCCCAACACTGCTTGCGGTCATCTTGAGCATTCCCCTGCGGCTTGGCTTCCCAGACAGGAACAACAACCAAACCAAACACCACCACCACCCTCGACCGCACCGCTATCCACTACCCATGTTCATCTTCTCACTCCTCTCCCCCTCCTGATCATACGGTTCCGCCCTTGTCGCAAAATCGTACACCACACCATCCGACCGGACACAACACAAGCCCATCTCATGATCAGCTCGCTTGCAAAGCCTGCGCTGCATCACATCATGTTGACCACCTGGCATACCACGCGAGACCAACCCTACTTGAGCTGAAGTCAAGTCTAGTTACCCGGTTTCTCGGCTCGTCGTTAATCTCTTCCGCTAGCCAACTCGGCATAGCGGTCTAATTTGCTAGCCGCGTGTTCCGCTTACAATACTCCAACTCCAAATAGCAGTTGGTTCCGCTCGCACGTCGTTCCATTCCTCCAACCCTCTCTACCCGTGCTTACCTGCACGTCTGCTCATCTCGTTGTCCACACCCATCCTGCTCGTAGTCCTGATATGAACTCTTGTTCCTAGGTGTCAGCAGTTTCCTCTTAACTCGTGTACCTATTACTTGATTGAGCATCCTCGCGCGTGTTCCATAGCATTCCTCCTCGACGTCCCCCTTCCGCGCGCGCCGAGCCAGAAAATGGGCCCTCCGTGGTTTGCGCGCATTTGCCTGCTGCTCGTACTCCTCTCCCTCACCCGCGCAGGTTTGTTGCTCCCCAGCCCCCTTCCCCCCCACCCTCCCCCCGGCCTTTCCTCCGCTCACTACTACCAAATTCTCTCCAGTGATGGGAACACGCGGTGCGGTGCACGCGTCGGGGTCGACAGGGTAGCTGCCCCACACGGATTCTCAGCGGGCACTTCACGAAGGCCACGCTGGTTACCCTTCCATTTATTTTCGTTCAAACTTTATGGCTTTCCTTAGGTTCTGCGGCTTCACAAATTCACCCGGGCGGGCTAGTTATCGGCTGTAGGCAGGGATGGGGGGTGCGAGGACAGAAGGTGCGAGGCAGGGAGTGCACGCGGAGGAAAGGATACGTAGTGAACGAAACGGGTTACGGGCGGCGACAGTCAGGAACGAATCAGTTACGGGTCTACGATAACGATGCGCCGGTCAGGAGCGGTGGGCCCGGAGCTGCTAGGGGCTTCGCCTTCCTGTCATTGTCCCGCGAAGTAGCAACAGACGACGCGACACGCAGACAGCGCAATCGGTGCTTGAGGCGAGCCCTACGTAACCCGTAGCCAGTAGTCCGTGATCTCCGGATTTCGTAGCCCATGCATGTGGTGTCGTGCTGGCGGGGAGTCTTCGTGCTGCCGCTCTCCGTCCTTGCGCTGCGCGTCTCTCGCTGTCTCTCTCGTTATCGACTTCTCTTCCCAGATCCGTCGCGTCACCATTTCGGTGCAGATGCGACGAGGGGCCTGGAGCGTGCCCGCTAGTTCGCTGCCGGGGCTGCCAGATTTACTAGATAGTGTACACAAGTTGAGGCTTGACCGCTTACCACGGCGTACAGTCTTTCCCCGCCTCCGTCCGCCCTCCTCTCCCTCCGCCAGTTCTCTTTCCAAGTCGTCCTTTCCACCTCACTCTTTTTCCCCCCCCCCCCCCCCCCCCCCCCCCCCCCCCCCCCCCCCACTCTCTCCCCTCATCCGGCGCTTCTCTCTCGCTCTTACTGTGGCCTTCCGTCCCTTCCTCCAGACCTTAACGGCCGTAGGTTATCCGACAGCGGTATTCCCACACGTGCCAACATTTCTCCCCTCGTTTCTCTGTCCTGCCGTTCCTTCCTCCACCAGACAATGACGGTCGGAAACTCTATGTCGTCAGAATGAACGACGCGCCGCCTGTTCTCTCCTACGAGGGCGGCATCGCCGGCTTCGACGCGACCGCGCCGCCGCCAATCGCGGAGGCCACGCAGGCGCTCGTCAAGTCGCTGACGGGCGCCGCGGGCGCGATGATGAGCGGGCTGTCGCGCAACGGGCTGCTGCGAAAGCTGCGAAACCGCGTGCGATTCAACGCGCGGTCGCCGCTGGTGAAGAATTTCGTGAGCTTTCTCAAGAAGCGGCACAAAAGCGCCGTGCAAAAGGCGGATATCAGCTCGTCGCAGATCGTGCACAGGTGAGCGCCGATAGCAGATGACAGACGCGGGCGTCGCAGATCGTTCTTCGGTGAGCCGTGCCGTCCGCACTGGTGCAGCAAACGGCCTGGCGCAGGTGACGGATGGCAGACGAGGGAAGGAGGGAAGGGCATGATGCGAAACGGCATGACCGGAAGGTGTTTGGGAGGGCGGGGACGGAGTCGATACGCGGAAGTAGCATGGGGACGAACAAGCGCATGTTCTTTTCTTTCCCCACGTACGAGCGCTTGAAGTCCCTCTTCCGGTTCTCCCGTTTCTTCCCCTCACCCCCCCCCTTCCCACCCCCCTCTCCAATTCTCCCCCTCCCCCCGGTCCGTGCCGTGCGTGCCGCGCCAACAGCTACACGTACGTCACCAACTCGTTCACCGCGCGCCTATCGCCGTCCGAGGTCGAGCGCCTGCAGAGCGATCCGACGGTGGAGGACATTCGGCGGCCCGGCTTGGTGACGGGGTTCACGAGCAGCGCCATGGATTTCCTCAACATGCCAGGTGGCACGTGGCCATTCGTCGGTGGTCCGGACCACGCTGGCGAGGGAATCGTCATCGGCATCATTGACACGGGCATATGGCCGGAGCATCCCTCGTTTGCTGACGTAAGCACCCGTTTCGTGTGCGTAGGAGTTCGTCGTGCAATGACGTACGCCTTGTCTCCTATAGTCAGTCGTTAAATCTTGTGCCTCGGGTTCTTCAGCCGAGTTCTCGGTTCTAGCCCAGCTAGTCTGCTGCAGTTAGTTGGCTTCTATATCCTTTGCGTTTCTCCGGCCGCTTCTCTGGCTGCAACTCAGCTCATTGCCTACCTGTTCCCGGCAAGTGCCCCTAATCCATACTGCCACGCCCGTTGTTTTATTGTTTTTGCTTTTTTTTTTTTTGGTGTGTGTATTTTGATCAAATTTGATTCTCAGGATCCCGTGAATCCTTACGGAGCGCCACCAAAGACGTGGAAGGGCGGGTGCAACGCGACGGACGATTTCCCGCCGTGCAATTCGAAGCTCATCGGCGCGCAGTGGTATGTCGAAGGGCTGCTGAGCGAAGCAGACCCGGAAGACGTGGATTCGCAAATCGATTGGATGAACGAGTTCAAGTCGCCTCGCGACGCCACTGGCCACGGCACCTGGTGTGCGGGGTGAGTTTCCCCTCGCACCCCCTTCCCCCCCGCCGTTTCCAGCTTGCTGACTCGCCCTTGTTATAAGTACTTGGTTTCCGACTTCCCCTTCCTCTCCCACACCTCATCCCCCCCTCCTTCCCACCAACCCTCTTCCGCAACCCCCTTGTTCGATTGGTCGTTTCTTTTTCTCGGTTTCCTCATTCATGTTCATTTGTCGAAGTACATCGAGTCCAACCCCCTTACCTTCACCTTTTTCCGCTCCTCTCCCTGCTCCGCTCTCCCTATCACAGAGCTGCAGCGGGCAACAGGAACGTCCCCATCGTGCGTGGCAGCCAGTCATTGGGCAACGCGACGGGTGCAGCGCCGCGCGC